CCGACTCAATTTCTCCATCATCCCGTAGAATCATCACCTCCAATTTGGACATTGTGAAGAAATATGACCCGAACCCAAACATTAATAGCACTTAATATCCCTTGACCTACCAGTTTGATTTTCAATATTTGGCTTATTCTTATTGACCTCTTCCCTAGCCTTAGGTACTTCATCCTTTTCCCTGGTCTCCACTTGTACATTCCTATCACCACTACGCCACTTGGGCTCCATTGTAAACCTAGCTACCCCCTTCATCTGCGCCGCCTCTCCACCTTCATAGCCACATGCCCCAAATCCTCTAACTCCACATAATGCTGCAACTCTACAATGTTAGCAATGTCCCTACTCAACCCATTCAAAAATCTAGCCATTGTGGCCTCCCGCTCCTCCACTACATTCGCCCTAATCCTCGCCACCTCCATCTCCTGGAAGTAATCCTCCACACTTCTAGACCCTTGAAAAAGAGTTTGTAATTTGTGATGAAGATNAGCCATTGTGGCCTCCCGATCCTCCACTACATTCGCCCTAATCATCGCCACCTCCATCTCCTGGTAGTAATCCTCCACACTTCTAGACCCTTGAAAAAGAGTTTGTAGTTTGTGATGTAGATCCCAGTAATAATGCCCAGGTATAAACCGCTTTCTCATATAAGCTTTCAACTCAACCCACGTCTCAATTGGCCTTTCCAAATTCCTCCTACGACTAGTCACCAATTGATCCCACCAAATGATAGCATAGTTAGTGAATTCTACTACAAGATTGAAGTTGAAGAAAAGGAGTCTATAGTTATGACAATATAACACCAATTCCACATTCTTTTCCCACTCCAGGTAAGCTTCAGGGTCACTCCGACCCTGGAAAGCGGGAATATTCATTTTGATACTTTCCAAATTTCTATCAGCACCTCGATCAAACCTACCTCCCATATTCCTCGTTCGACCCATGTCAGCCTCCAAATAGTATTCACTACTACCTACACTCATCGCCTCATCTTTACCATCAAATTCAGCCATAAGATTCCGTCACCTCCTATCTACTCTACTCGCACGAGGAACCCTTTGGGGTGTCCCTCACTGCTGACTCCCAATCATAGTTTCATGCCTAGCTACATCACTACTAATTCGTTCAACAGCCAAACCCAATTGATCAAACTTGTGATATATAGCCTGCATACTATCCCTAAACTCGGCATAAAACCCTTTAGGCACCGCATCTACTTCTCCTTTATTTATATCTCCTTCCATTTTTTTTGTGCAATAAGTAAATAACAAAATTAAAGGAACGAAAATAACAAATTAAGTTTCCTCACGTGTTTGCACTTGTGTATCACTTAAGATTGATTTGTACCCGATAATGAGCTCACTACTCTGCCTTTTATCGCTCGTTCTCCTTCCTCAATAGCTCAAGAAATAATCGATCTTAATCAAATGTGACACAATTCCCGTAACAAACAACACCACAAGCACTAGTTTTGAATAATCAACAGAATTTTGGCACAGACCGAGGTAATGGACTCTAATGCAAGAAAAGAAACAATTGACTTGAAAATTTATATCGTTTTTGTTTTGCTTTGCCTCTAGACGTTCACAATGTGTAGAGACTTTTTTTTTTTCAAATGTTCAAGTGAATAGTAACGTGAACACTGGCGATGAAAAGTAGCGTTTTTTTTTCGCTAACTCAACAAACAACTAAATATAATTTAGAGGCAAAATTAACAACGAAAACAAGGATCCAAAACAAAAATAACGATTCTGATCTTCTTTTTTTTTTTTTAAAACTCAAACAAGAACTATAAAACTGACTCTTTTTTTTACTCAAATAATAAAATAAATTGCTGGAAAGTAAAGATAGATGACCTGAAGTCTAGATCCTAGTTCTGATACCAACTGATGCGAACTCAGCCAATAATATATCTTGGGAAACCATGAACAAGTTGAAGTCAACCCAAGAAAGCTAGAAATCACGTCTCGCAATAGCAACCCGACCCGTTATTTAACCCGTACCAAGAACCAAGATCACGCATTAGAGATCTGACCCGTTGATTACCCGAAACAAGAACCGTGAAGTGGAAACGCCACAAAAGGACTGCGACACATTTTGATAAGTTCAAGATATAAGTCTTTAAGCCATCAAGAACATTGGAGGAAAAAACTCA